ACACCCAAAAAAAAAAATGACTAAAATATTTCAGCAATGGGTTTGCCCTTATTTCTAAAGTATATTACTATTCAGGAGAAAGGAGAGCTCACTGACATGTGACAATGAAGGAAGAACTAAAGAAAGTATTTCCCATTTCACCCAAGACTACCCTTAGCGTCTTATGCAACCTTATCTTGCATACGGTTAGGTGACATCCAGTCGGTTCTGACCGACAGTAACCCTATGCATAACAGAACACAACACTGCTCGGTCCTGCATCATCCTCACAATTATTCTTATGCCCGAGTCCATTGTTGCAGTAGCTATGTCAAGTCATCTCATTGAAGACCTTCCTCACTTTACCAAGCATGATGTCCTTCTCCAAGGGTTGATCTCTCCTGACATATGTCCAAAGTATGCAAGACGAAGTCTTGCCATCCTTGCCTCTAAGGAGCACTCGGGCCCTACTTCTGGTCAACACAGATAGATTTGCCCACTAAGTAATCCATGGTATTTTCAATCTTCTTCTCCAATACCCCAATTCAAATAAACTGATTCTTCCTCTTCAGTCTTCCTTATTCAATGTCCAGCTTTCACATGCATGTGAGGCAACTGAAAATACACAGCTTGGATCAAGCACATCTTAGCCCTCAAAGCAACAGCCTTGCTTTCAGTATTCTAAAAGAGGTCCCATACATACAACAGATTTACCTAGTGAAATACACCTTTTGATCTCTTGATTGCAGCTTGCATGAGCACTAACTGTGGATCCAAGCAAGAGAAAATCTTTGACAACGTCATTGTTTTGCTTGCTTAGGGAAGGAAATACATATGTGGCGTTCCTTGCATGAAAAGAAACTTCCAAGGTCCTAAGATTCCCAACTGGCCTCAGTTTCTTTCTGCTGCCCAAGTTATATGAAGGGACTTTACAAAGATGATGGAAAACCATCATCATCTTTCAGCTTCATTCCTTTCACAAACGGGGTCAGAGGCAGCAAGGCCCTCAGCTTACCCTTCAGCACAGTGTTTCATCTTGGCAACAGGATTTTGCAGCAGCCTCTGCTCAAATTGTTCAATCATCACTCACCCTGCTGACTTAAGTGATCTTGAATCTGAAGATAATTTTCATATTGTCTCACTATTTCCCATTATAAATTAACGACATCTGTAATACTGAGTCATAAAAGGTCTATCCAAAGAACCGTATTAAAAATTACATGGAACAGCTTTCCCTAAGCAGCCTCTTGACAAACACATACCCACCCTTTTCCATTAAGACCTTCAGAATCCTGCTCTGCAGTGACCTTGGAAAATTGGGAATGATGTGTTACTGCACAAGATCTAACAAGTTACTACAGTTCCAAAAAATGTCTGAGTAAGTAAGAGCTGAGTCGAATTAGCCTGGATGCTGGGTTTGTTGTTGTTCTTGTTGTTGTTTGTAACTTTCAGAGAGCTATTGCCTTGCGGAAGATTTTTCGACAATACCAGAGCAGTACAGAACTGGATGGGTCTGGAGGCTGATCTAACAAAGACTTGTATACTGAGCAGGATCCTGAGGCAGAAAGTACTATAGTGGATCAGCATCAGATGATCCAGTGAACAAAAAATTAACAGTTAGTGTGCCCCACATTTGAATATTCAAAAGAGACAATGTTTTGAATGTAGAAATGTAATTTTATTATAATAGGAGAAATTCTTTTGGACTAGAGTATTTTCCAAAGGGCTGGGTTTAAAACATTGCCAAAAATGCAAGGGTAGAATGTTTAGTGCAACTAATTTGATTTCAAGCCATTCTTTGAGAAACTATTAATTACAAGTATATTCAAGTCAAACATTCTGAAAACAGGGATACTGAGGACCTTGGTCACCCCTCTGCCTGATCACTCATCCCAGGGAAGATGTAAACAGTTCTATTTAGTAAGAACCAGCTGTCTGTTCTGTCTACACAGTCTCTGTTCAACTTAGTGCCATCGAGCGGATTCTGAGTATAGCTTGGTAATAAAATAACAACTCACTCAAAGTGACTCTGTAGAGTAAGGCAGAATGGCCCCTGTGGATTTCCAAGTCTGTGCTTTCTACAGGAGACAGTGGGTGTGAACTGCTGATCTTGCAGTTAGTTAGCAGCACCATGAATAACACACTACACCACCAGGGTTCCTACACGCTCTCTTAATACAAGTATATTCAGGGCCCAGTTGGGTAAAAGGTGGGCTGGTACCCACAGGGGCTTAACTGTTGTCCACTGTGGGTGTCTATGAGTCAGAATCAAATGAAAGCAGTCCATTTTCTCTAAAGGGTCTGACCCTACCCCTTGAAGTGATGAAAGACAGGAATCCAAGGTTCCCAAGTCCCCCCTTCAACAATTATACCAGCCTTACTTACTTCCCAGGATAATATATTTTAATCTGGTTAGTACAAGTTAGTATCGTGGTTAGTAAAACTTCTCAAATTTTTTAACCCTGTAAGTACGTGCACCTGTCCCAAATGCCTGCAATTCTAAACCAATCTCTGCACAACCAAGACTGTAACTAGTAGTTTCAACCTTCTTCATCAAAGCAACGGACTCTGAGGCAGAGATCTCAAGTTCGAAATCTGTGCTTGCCACTCTCTACTTCTGACCTGGAGTCTGGAGTGATGTTAATCAGCCCATCTGCTACTTGAGATTAGAGGTTCAAGTCTACCCATAGGCCATTCCAAAGAAAGGTCTGGCAATCTACTTCAGAAGCATCAGCCATTGAAAACCTTAAGAAGTATAGTCCACCGGACACACCTGCGGTTGCCCAGAATCAGAGGAGGTTTGGCAACATCTGGTTTCCTCTGTCATGAACGCATTTACCCAGCTTCTCTGGCCTGGTAAACCCTCAGGAACCTGTCAACAGTAACGTGCAGTTGACAGTGTTGTTCAAACTAAATGGGAATTTGTGTAAAAAACACTTAGTTTTGCAGGTGGTCAGTAAGTACTGGTTCCCTTATTTTGCTATCACACGGGAGTTTGGAAGAGCACTTAGGATAAGAAACAACATAACCAATTTGAAGCACCTGAAATGAAAAGCCTAAAGAAGAAGCTGGATAATCTTAACACTGTCTGTCACCTAGCTGATACCTTTGACTTAAATACCAATGAAAACCAACCCCACGGCCATCCAGTCCATTTCAACTCACAGTGACCCGATAGGGCAAAGCAGAACTGTCTCTGTGGGTTTCCAAGTCTGAAAGCCCCGTCTTTCTTCGGAGGAGCAGCTGGTGGGTGTGATTCGCTGACCTTGTGGTTAGATGTCCAACATTAATAAACCACAATGACACCAGCGCGCCTTGACTACTAATAGCTAAGTGGTTGTGTTTTTTTAAGTAAATGCTTACTCATTACCCAATATTGAGTTAAACAGTTTGGCTCTAGCCTTTGAAGACATTCCATATGGAAATGAAGGAACTATCATGCCACGGGCAGGAAAAATGTTGGAGTCCACCTGAGGATTGTGCAGGGGGTCCACGTGAAGATTGTGAGGACTGTCCATCTGAGGAGTTCCCAACAAAAACCCCTTCAAGTGAAAAATCAAACATCTAAAGAATACTGGTAACCTTTCCAGAACCTGAAATAAGAAAACTCAGTGGTTTCACTGGCTGCTCTCACTGAAGATCAGCATAACACCCCAATAACAGCTTATACTGCTAACTAATTACCTTTTATCGTCTGTTCCGTAAGCACAGAGGTCTGCTGAGGAAGGATTCAATTTGCCACATTGGCAGCACTATGTAAGACTAAGAAGCCGTCCCTCTCTTTCAGAACTGAAACGGAAGACGATGGAAAGTGCTAAGGCTCACTGGGTTTTGAAATGGAGAATCACTAATAGCCCCCAAATCCGGAAAACCCACCTTGAACATGAGTGTTAGTGTCTCACTGAGCCCACTGCTTTTGCTACTAGCACGTCGCTTAACTATTATTGAAATCTAAATTGTCCATCAATGTTGAAAATGGACAATGGGGATCCTGGGGTTGCATTAAATTCTTCCTCTTTAATCATTTTTAAATGATCTATAACGAGTTTTTAAAAAATCTACACCCCCACCCCCACATCTCCCATGCTCCCTACAGTAAGAGGTTATTCCATGTACATTTAACAGACGATACTCTTCTCTGGATAATTTTAACTCTTCCTAAAAATAAACAGTCCAGTCACCCACCCAGTGAGGGGCAGCGGCTCCAGAAAGTGGTGTCACCACAGATGGAGGCTCAGTCATTGTGGGAAGTGAAACAGACTCAACCAGCACTGGCACTGATAGGGCGGCATCCGATCCCATCAGGCCCTCTTTAGAAAAGGAAGCGTTTCGTCAGCTGTCACGTCGGAAGACGGTGCACAGTGGCTAGCAGCTGCAATAGAAAGCGGTTGAAAGTACTAGAACTACACTGCATTTTTTGGTTGTTGTTGCTTCACACCCTGGAGGAAGTACAAAGGGAATGCTGAGTCAAAAGCAAATATGCAGACTCATGGCTGACTAGGCACTCTTTAGAAAGCGACCGCGTGGTTCAGAACAGAAGAAGAATGAATGCACTCGAAGGCTTGGGCCTCTTACTCAGTGTCTTACATGGAGTAAACACTCAGAAATTTTAGAAGGCTAAAATCCTCTTTGCCACTTCTTTTGGTTTTTTTGTAGTATTTTGGTTTTAATTACCATAACACACACACACTGAGGGATGGTAATAACCTGAAAATGCCTTCACGTGCACTCCAATAATAAAGCAAGCTGCTGCTCTAAGTACAGCAGTAATTATGATCATCCTCATTCCCAGTAGCCAAGAGAACCTTCTCAAGGGTCAGATTATTCCAGCTACCTCCGGCATGCCCCTGAGGCCTCTCTACAAACTTCAAGTCCTCATTATTATGTTCTCTACGAAGGCCAGTGTAAAAGATTGCCAAAGAGAAACTGGCAGGGAAGTTTCTAAGCCAGCAAAATGCTGGTGTCTCAGGCCCTTGTGGCTGCAGTCACTGATGCAAAGATGGACACTAATTCAAACTTACCTCCAGGAATTTGAAATTTGCGATCCGGGCAGAAAGGGCAGCAATCCTGCAGGACATGTAAGCTGGGAGGTGATGAGCCACGATGCTCAGCCTAGCGTGCAGCAGAGCTGCGACGGGCCAGCAGAGAGATAAACACAAAGTAAATGCAGAGAAAAAGGCCTTCTCCTCAGAGAGAGGCCTGCACTGGAGCTCCCGGGAAGCTCCAGCCCTGGGCAGCTCCGTGGCCCACATGATACTAGGTAACAGGGTACATACCTGCTCCCTTAGCCTAAAGGACAACAGACCGGGTGAGGGCGGGGCTCTCTAGGTCTCCCAAGCTTCCTGCCTTTGACGGGGTACAGTCAGGCTAGCACTTCTCTCTCAGTCTCTATCAGTGGAAAATCTTTCACTGTTCCTTCTCTGACAGATTTCTGCCTTCCACTGGTTCCAAGTTTCTTTGTATCTTTGTAAAAGTTAGAGTAGTTTTATAGCTATGGTAGTTTGCACAAATTTGTCACCTTCTTCCAAAGTGTCTTGACAACAGCCCAGTGTGTGGTTTGAGGCCTCTGAATAAAAAACTAAATTCCCTACTTTTCTAATAATCAGGGCCGCAAAACAAGGACTCTGATCTAATGGGAGGCATAGCAGCACCGCACATTCCTGGAGGAAGAAACAAGACTGGTTGAGGTTAGAAGACGTCCCTGGCCTACTGCCCTGAGATAGTCTTCAGACCTTGAACCCAAACCACTCCTTAACACCTGAGAATATCAGTGACTCACAAAACAAAGGCTCTTAGTAAGTGCTCTGCTCTTCTGAAAAAAAAAAAATCCAGTTCACACCTTCAGCTTTTCCCAGAGGAACGTGTACATATGCCTTCACAAGCAGTGACGTCAACAGACAAGCTCTCTCAGCAATACACTGACCGTGGTCTCCTGTGGTTCCCTTCAGAGACAGGTGCAACCAAAGCCATGGTTTCCGAGGGGAAAGGTTGTTCCACGGAAGTTATTCAGAAGGCTTTCTTTTTCAGGATTCCCAGGGTTAATCTTGACGGACTTTCTTAAAGGAGGCAGGATGACCATAGGGCTTTATTAGGAAGCCATTTTATGAAAACTGAAAATTTTAGTGGTGAGAAAAAGGCATAGGAAGTTGTGCTGAAGAACTGTTTTCCATCACAATACATCTGCTTGTTCTTCAAGGGTAGCAAGAGCTATGCAAATTTGGGGGGGGGGCGGAGAAACCTTACACTATCTACCCTGATATTGTCCCTTTTAGACTTCTTTTTGTCTCCCAAACTGAAAGGACATTTAGAAGGAACGCGATCTGGGTCCTTTGAGGATGCCGACATTGCCAATTTGATTGTCAAAGGCAGCAGAATCCCCCAGGGAAGGGTTAGAGACAGAAACACTGCCTTCTGAAATGCACACACCTAGATAGAGGTTCAGTTCAGGAACAAAGGGTCACATGTTAATATCTATTCAATAAAGGCTTCTATGACTTTGTAGGAATATTTTGTGACTTACCTTTGTATTCTGTGATCACTCAACACTCCTTCAGAACAGGAGTCGGCAAACTTTTGAGATGGAAGAGCCAATCTCGTCCCTCACAGCAATTTAAAAATTATTCAAGAACCATAAGTATATATTTTCCAAACAAATGAAATCCCTATCATCTGTATAGTAGCCTTTGAAAGTTTTCCATTTGACCTCAGAGCCACATAGGTTATCGAAAGAGCTGCGGATATATGGCTCACAAGCCACCGTTTGCCAACCCTGCTTTAGCCTAAAGAATATCTTTATTAGATTACAGACTTTTGGAAGCAAAACACTTAAACAAATCTCGGTTTACTTGACAACCTGAAGCATTACTAGACCAAAAGACTTTCCATCAGATTTTTCAAAGGACTCACCAGAACTTAGGCAGCTTTAAAAAGGACCACAAAATAAGCTGCTTCACTAAATACCATGGCAGAAAACTCTTAAGCCAGAGATAGTTAATATTTCTTATGATAACTGATAATGCTCAAAATTTATTAAAATGTTACCTGGCAGTGTGCTAAGTACTTTACATGTATTATTTTATTTAATCCTCTCCATTACACTATGATTAAAACAAAACAAAAAATCATATACCATATACATTTGAGTATAAGCCAACCCAAATATCAGCCGAGGCACCTAATTTTACCACAAAAATTGCATTAAAAATGTGCTGAAAGTTTAAGTGGAGAGAAAATGTTTTGAGAAGATGAGGTCAATGAATGTACAAATGTGCTTTACACAATTGATGTGTGTATGGATTGTGATAAGAGTTGTATGAGCCCCTAATAAAATGATTTTTTTTTAAAGTGCTGAAAAACTCAACTTATACACAAGTATACACAGTGATTAGCCTAAAATCTGAAAACCCATTGCCAACATGTCAATTCCTCCTCAGAGGGACTTTTCAGGAGAGGACAACTGCCTCATTGGGTTTCCTGGCTGCAATCTTCATGGGAACAGATTGTCGCATTACTCTCCCAGAGAACGGTTGGTAAATTCAAATTGCTGACCTTTCACTGTAAGCACTTAGACACTGCACCACCAAACCACACACATACACACACACACACACAAAACCCCAATGGCATCGAAACAATGGTCAATTCCATCTTACGACCACCCTATAAAGGGTTTCCGATACAGTCAATCTCTATGGAAACAGATAGCCTCATCTTTCTCTCAAGGAGCAGTTGGTAGGTTTGAACCACCAACTTCGCTGATACCTGGCTGACAGTGCTACCAGGACTCCACTGTTCATACAAGAGATGCGCATGCTGCTGCCCCACACTTACAAACCCACTACTTTAGAGAACAGAGTCTTTCTCGTCTCTTACTCCCTGTTGCCTATGAGCTACTGATGTGTGGTTTTAATCCTCTAACGGGTAGTTCACCATCCATCTGTCAGCTTGTCATATTGTGGGAGCACATGAGTTGCTATAATACTTGAAGCGATGTCACCAGCATTTCAAATGCCAGCAGGGTCACTCATAGCAGCCATGCTTTCACAGAACTTCCAAGCTAACAGAGACTAGGAAGAAAGACCTGGCTATCTACTGTCAGCATTCGCTAATGAAAGCCCTGTGGTTCACAACCAAACACTGTCCCACACTGTTTGAGAAGAGGAACCCCTGAGGTGGGAAGGTTCTACCCAGCAGACTAATCCATGCTAACGATCATGAGGGTGGCACAGGACCAGGCACTTCTTTCTGTTGTAGACAGAGGTGCCATAAATCAAGTCAAATCGACAGCATCCAACAACATCTAAAACGAGAGGAGGAGGAGTAATAGTAGAAACACATATTCCAGCTTCACAAGCTACGGTCCAAAAAAGGCATCCCACATGCCTCTTCTATATTACAGGAAAAAGTTACTAGCAACATCAAATAAGCAAACAAAATATATTTCAAACTAGCTGTTTTAAGGTTGTTTTCTGAATGGCATCAACATTTTAGTTATAATTCCTAACACCAAAACAAAGAAACAAACTGAACAGTCCTGACTGAACTGCTTGTCTTAAAATATGCATACACACACACATATATACCTCTATGTACATATTTAATTTTAATAATTTTATATAAGCAGTGTATTTATATTATTTATTTATATATCCTAGCACTCACAAATAGAATTAAATACCTAGACATGGTTATATTAGAGCTAAACAAAAAGGATCACAATAAATGTTTTCAACTATTGTCTGTTTTAAAATCAGTTAACAAAGAAGGGAAAGGAAGCAGGCACTTTAGCTCTCTGAGTGATGGCTCTGTGTTAAGGTGGACAATCACCCTGGGTGGGAGTTTATATTAACTCTCTTAGCAGATGGGGACTGAAAGTTCAGAAGGACTCAAGTCCCTTTCCCAGACAGGGGCCCCATGGAAGAAGGCCTGGCAGTGTTCTTCCATAGAAGCAGCCATAGAAAACCCTAGGCAGCACAGTTCGACCGTGGCAGGCATGGAGTCATCATGGATAGGAAAGGACTCCAACAGCAACTGGAGCTAGCAATGGTTCTCAACCATGTTGTGGTGACCCCCAACCATAAAATTATTTTCGTTGCTACTTCATTACTGTAATTTTGCTATTGTTATGAAGCAGGCGACCCCTGTGAAAGGGTTGTTCGACCCCCAAAGGGGTCGTGACCCACAGGTTGAGAACTATTGAGCTAGAGGTAATCAAACCCAAGTCTTTCTACCTGCAATGTCCCCAAATTTTCTACTCTTTTATCACTAAACCAACACTGAGATAAAATCATATGCAATTATAGAAACAGAGACTTTGCAGGCTTCCAATGTAAACATTTCATTTAATATAGACACTATGGTGAACAGTCTCTAAGACCAAGTGCAATTCCCGCCCCGCCCCCTCCTTTATATGTGTGTGCTGCTCCTCCCATCAATAGATAAGAGGAGCAGACCTTGTGGTGTGTTTCCACAAATAAGCTATAGTGTGCTAGTTCCAGACCTGGCCCTTAGGAAATCTTGTGGCTCTGGCTTCCTTGTTCCCCATGAAAGAACACTAAACAGGTGACTGAAAGCTTTTTGAGACATCTGTCCTGATCAGTAATGAGATGCATCCAAGGGAGTGACCTCAGTCAATGACATATTGAACCGAAGAAAATGGCCCAGCTGGATTTTCTGGCCAACGGAACCATGAGAAACAATCTTTGGGATGACTTGCTCGGCAAAGACAAGGAGGTTAAGTGTCTTGCTATAAGCAAGAATCACTAGCAGGGATTAAAATTAAGTTCCCTGACTTCCAGCTCCGGGTACCTACAATGTAAACTGATAAACAGGACACCCAACAAATCAACAACATTCCGTTAAAAAACAGTACTGACTGCAATGACTATATTCATTTGGCCCCAACTCAGCTATGCAGGGTACTTCTGCATCTCTGGGTTGACTGGCGCACTGCTATTGTCAGTTTGGCACATTAAATTCTGAAGGCCTCAACTGCATGGCAAACTCCCAAAGGATAGGGATCGGCAGTCATCAGGTTTGCCTACAGCTCCAGTGTCTACCTCGAGGCCTTGCATACAAT